TTGTCAATGGATCAGACTTGCTTTGCTCCGCATAATTTCACATATTGTATGCCAGGCATGAAAACAGAAAAGCATGAAAAAATAGACTTTACTACTCTTTCTGGTATCATTGGAGAGCTAGACTTGTCAATCGAGTATGTATGTTTTTGTATGCATAAAGATATGTTATATGAAATACATGTTAATATAAATTAATGTCTAAATTATAGATCTTGTGCTGGACGGAAAGTATCTATCGGCAGATATTTTGAACGTAAATCTGATGATATAGAAATGCTGGGAAATGGGAAAGCAAAACCAAGCCTTAAGGTTTTGGAAACTCCTATAAAAACGAGCAAATTACCAGTATTAGTTGAATCAACTGTCTCGACAGATGGTAATTACACAATTGTTAATAAAATATAAAATAAAATAAAATAAAATTTTCTCGTGTACAGTAAAAATTATATTGTAGCAACATCGTCAATGCAATTGACAGAGAAAGAGCATACGCTTATTCCCAATATAAGAAGAGATATAGATGAAAATAGTATCATAAGTTTGAGCACTATTGTTAATACTTTAGAAGATGTTAACAGCGAGACACCACGACGATTGGTTGATCAGCTTTTAATGGCACAGAAGAAGAAAAACCATTCTCTAATGTATAATAATACAAGAAAAGAAAACTCCGATGAAAAGTCTATTTTAGCAATGTCTATTGGAAATTCGAACAAGTTTAATGATATTAATGTAGAGAATCGCTCAGCTAAATTATCAATAGATAATAAAACCAAAAATGAAACTTTAAATGAAATTGTTAATATAAAGCAGGAGCGTAGAAGCGTATCATTCCCTTCAAATGAAAATGTAAAGAAGGCTGAATCCTTCATGAATGTATCTAAAAAGAAAATGTTAGAGGATTCATGTAATGAAAACGTGGTATCTTCAATTAATCAAGACATAGGTATGTAAATTGAAATCTTTATAAGATATTTACATTTGATTCTTTTATGGATTTTGTTGCACGATATAGCATTTCAATCTGTATTCATGATATATCTGAGATTAGAGTATATAATCAATTTTTTTTTATAATTTAAAAGATTAAATTCAAACTTTAATGTATAAATATCTTGACATATAACTTTAACAACTAGGTGTGCCGTCAACATCAGATTTTACATTTTCTTTACAAAATTCCACATTACCATGCAATGACAAATTGACTGCATTGTCCTATATACCATTTAAAATGAACAGAAAAAGTTTTGATGAAGAGAGCTACAAAAATTTGAATATTCAAAACAAAGAACAAAATATTTCTAATAGTATGATAGGCTCATCGTTCTCAATGAACAATATGAACATGCAGACTGATTCAAGTAGTATAGTTTATTTACTTATTAACTTAAAATATAATAGATATGATAGATATATGACAATATTTTTTTTTCCAGAGAATGTCGTTCTTGGCAAGAATACAGAAGAAGCATGCAATTGTGTTATTGGTATGACGAATGAAGTAAATGTTGAACTCATAAATAATGGAGATAGATGGATCACGTATATCTTTAAGTTAATTGAAGTAGTAGGAGATACACAAAGTATTGAATTGAATATTCCTTCGAAGGAAATTTTAATAAATTCTAATAGTACCCAATCCACAAAGGTATAATTCAGTATCAGCTGAAAATGAATTTTACTTGTAAAGATAATAACTAGACTATTTCTTTCAGATTGAAGTAAAAGTACTAAAAATGTGTAAACCAATATTTGTAATATTAAATATATTTTTATCAGATATGGTAGCAAAATCAAAATGGTCTATGAAACACATAATCTTTGTTAATCCGGAGCAACTTGAGCTTGATATTATATGTCCTTCTGACAAACAAAACTTAGATTTCCAATACATCGGAGAAGAAACAATCAAAGTTCTACCTATAATATTTTATAATAAAAACAACGTTGCTGTACCTGTGAAACTGTCAATATTAGAAGTGAGATACAAATCTACTAAAATGTAATTAGATCGATATACTGAAAACTGATTATATATTTTCAACTTATAGGAGGGTTCAAAAATATTTAGCATTGATGGATCAACGCATTTTCTACTTGAACCACTTAAGAAATTTACCACTAATATAAAATGTGAAAAATTGCGATCTATATCAGTAGGCAAGTATCTCTTATACTAGCTGTATACTTCATATACAGGCATTGATCTATTGGAGATGTAAGAAAGTTTTGTTAAATAGATTCTCCGCAGAGACAGCCACAACATTGGAAGGGCAAACTAATTGTATATGTACAATCCAATGATGACACTATATTACTTAAAAAAGAGATACCTCTTTACGCACAAATAGGTTTTTGTAAAATCCAAATCGTCGACACGGAAGTACCGATAGTTGTTCCAAGACAGCAAGGAAAATCGATAAACATCATTAACTCGGGAAATATCGCAATTCATGTGTTCGCGACTATCGTACCATTTGAAGGGCATTCAAATGCGACGCAAGATTTTTTTATAAAGCCAGATGATATATTTTTGCAAGTTGGAGAAAGGAGTTCATTCTTAATTGTATATAAACCACAATTTTCCGATGCAAACTCTGTAAATAATGAAAGGTAATGATTAATTTGTAAATTATAAATTTATTTGTCTACTGTACTATTTAATTATTTATTGTTATTTTTTCAGATATGCAAAGATTAAGTTAGTTGCCGGGAACAATGTTTATCACTACATTATAAGTACCGAACAAAAATTAATAGAATCAGAAAAAGAAAATTATTTACGTTGCCATACGCCTAATAATGTTGTATATCTAAGTCCAGCAACATCGCCACAAAGTGTAACTTCTAATAGGTAGGTATTTATGAGTTTATATATATATATAAATGTACATGTATTATTATTATTATTAACAGCAAATCTTTTTATATATAGATCTGGACCTTGCGATAGAAATTCACCAATCAGTACAGTATCTAGTTTAGCTGTAGCAGGACATGTAATTCCAATCAGAGCTACACACGCTGCCCTAGTATGGAATAGTGTAAAAACAGGAAAAAGTGAAACTAAAGAATTTACAATTCGCAACACGAGCAATAACAAGATTAAAATTCAAATAGACATATGTGATGATAGTAAGAGTTTTAAGGTATTACATATACATATATATTTTTTGTGTTATCTGAAGAAAAAGTTGTGATACAATTTATATCAATATCTGTTATAGTTTCTTGGAGATAAACAGACTATCAACACAAGCCTGGTACGAGTAATGCAACGTCAAGAAATTAAGACACTTGCAGTTGTGTTCAGTCCTTATTGCGTAGGCTCAGTAGTTGGAAAAATTACTATCAAACATTATACAAAAGAGAGTAGTGATTCTCAGCAGTTTAAAAGAGTGTGTATATTTAATGATAATAGGTTTAATTTACTTTTTAACAAGAAAGAGAGAGAGGGAATATTTATAATTTAAATTGACAGATACCTTTGTATGGATACGGAGGTTGCAGTAAAGTAAAAATTTCGGGACCATTTAAAGATTCGAGTAAAAAATTGTGGTTGTCACTTGGCAATTTATATTCTGAAACTATGACTTTGAGCGCTAGTATTAGACTGGATAACATTGGCGACTTACGTTCATTCGCCAAAGTCACAATCATACCTAAAGGTTTGACTAAATTAATTCTCCTATTTTCTTTATATATTACGTATTAATATGAGTTACGCAAGGATAAACACATTCGTATATTTTAGTTATTTCTCCAATAATGGATTCTAGTTGGCATATGAATCCAAAAGAAATAATACTTAATTCTAAAGAATCTCAAGAAATAACAATACAATTTCACCCAAAGAAAGAAGACTTTGCGTTATTGAAACGTTCAGAAGTCTCGCATGTGGCAACGATAAATGTTATTTATGGCGATGAACCAACCCGCTGGCGAATACGCAGGTAAAACGTACGCTGTGTATTCAGACAAATAGACATTTATTGGCATTAATTTTCTAATTGATAAATATATACTTTTTTGTCAGATTGTATAATAAATTGATGAAAGAGTCGGGTGAATCAATTGGAAATGAAAATGAAGCATTCAAGAATATTGTGCATCCCATATGTAAAATTTTTCCTGGAGAGCAACTAATTCCTGGCATAACGTTGATTCGCGATTCTATTGTAAGTATCTACAATTATATTATTTAGCCTCATTACTGTTTACGTAATAATAACAGCGTGTATTTAAATAGCAAAACCTAAATGATCTATGCACTGGTGTTCATCAATATGAGATAATGCTCACAGTGGAAGCATGCGCGGATGATACTTTGCCTGTTCATTATGATACTGATGAATCGGAGATGTATCAGTCTCTTATAAACGACACTACTCATTTAGACGAAGCGGGTGGAGCAAGTTTCTTCGCTTCTCAGTAAGAGATCTTTTCATTTGTATTATATTTTTCTTCTAGCATGCATATTTCTCATTACGCGTTTATCAGTTTTTTATAACTATGTCAACTTAAAAAAGATTTCTTGTTAAAATAACTTGTTAATATTTTATTACACAGAACTATAGAATATGAAGTTCAACACCCTGAATTGCAAAGAGATCAATTCACTGTAACTCCGTCCACCATCACTCTGACTCCTCCAGTAAAGAATGAAGCAACTGTGACTATTCTTAGCTTTTTCAAAACAGCCGAGCCATTTCAGACCAGTCTATCAAATTCAGATTATTTCAGTGTTGTTCCTGCAGAAGGAATGTTACCTAGCAAAAAGAGCTTTCCTTTAAAGATACAGTGTTCACAGAAACTGGATCGTAATATGCAGGCTGTACTTGCGATTTATACAGAAAACAATAAACAGGACGTGTTGATTAAAGTCGCAGTGAGGCGATAATAATCGGTTATGTGAAAGAATAATAATATTTATTTATATAATTGTAATTTAAAAGTTTTACAAAAACGATATTTTATTAATAATTTTTAACAAACTATCACGTGTTTTTCTTCAATACATTCCTAGTTATTTTAGTCTGTTCGTAATTGTTACTTAAGTTTATCGCAGAAGTTGTTAATGATGAAGTAATTTGAAATTGCGTGTTGTATTTCTCTTTTAAAGCTAGTATTATCGATACCATATTTTTCACATCATCAATCCCCGAATGTAGACGTCCCTTTAACGGAACATTCAGTCGCGCAAGCATGTCCTTTAAACTCTTAGGATAACATCCAGTAGATTCGCAAAATATATGCTTTAACTCTATCCACTGCTTGAACTGATCCGGTAACGTAATACCATCCAAATCGCATTGACTCGGCAGCATAATTTTTAAATCCCAATTACCGCAAGTGACGAATGAGCTTTTCTCAGGTTTGTCAAAGTATCCTCTCTTAGTCAACCACTCGCAGAAATTTGAAAACACGTCGACAAAATAAGGCTGATCATCCACCGTCTCCTGCATGATTCCGGTTAATTCTGTGCAGAACGGCGTGAGGGTGGGATGAACTCTGGGTTTCACGTATGTATGAAACGTGTCCTTCAGTTTCCAATCGTAGGTGGACAGCACCGCGCACGGTAGCTCGATAATCTCCTGCGGCTTGAGCACTGTATACTTCTCGCACGTGGCCTCAAAGTCCATCACAAGAAGGTATTCAAACTTTTGTACTATCTTGCGGGAAGGAATGATCATCGTTCTGGGATACCTTTGGAGAACTCGATGGGCCATACTTATCCCTTGTACGAGTGGATCGAGTGGATCATGTCCCTGTATAGTTCCCAAACAAAATAAATATTTTTAGATGAAATCGCTTGGCCTAGTTGTCCCTTATTTACTCAGTTTTTTAGTAACTTCATTACTTGTTTGTTCAATCAATTGTGAATGAATTTATTACGAGATTAAATTTTATGCAAAATATGCTGTATTTATTATTACATCAAGGTTGTTGGCGAACCTTACTATCAAAAGAGCAAAATTGCGAAACTGTGATTAAACACTATCAAGTAGCTTTAACCCTTAACTGTGGCTATGTTTTTATTGCACACTATAAGTTGTAGGATAAGAATTCCTACTTTTGATAAAAAAAAGGGAAATAGCTTAAGACTTAATTACTCTCTAAATTTTTCTTAAAAGTCCAGTTCCTCCAACATAAGATTAACCTCAATTTTAACTTATTGTGTTTCTTTTTTTAATTCTTAGAATTAGAAAAAGATAAAATAAACCGAATTGTGAAGTGAAATTAAAGTTCTAATCTTACATTAAGGTAAAACCGGACCTAAGAGTGAGATTTCATTCTTTAGGGTGAGACTCATTCTAAAAATTTCAGAGTAATATATACTTTTATTGTATATATACACTAGTTAATAAAACTTCCACTTTTAGATACAAAAAAAGGAAATAAAAATAACTGCTCTCCACTATGTAGACTTGCTGCCGAATTAAGTTTGATTTAAAAACAGGTGTTGATCGAGTTTGTGCAGAAGAACGACAAGAATCCCAGAGACTCCACAAATAACCCGCATCCACGGTTGAAGGTTAGAACTCTCGTAGTTTAGAAAAAATATATTTTCCGATGTTACCTAACAATAAATTTTTTGTAAATGCAATTCTGCTGAGAGAAGATCAAATTTGAACACGAGTGCGATAAGTAGACGCGCGTTGGAACGATTTCACGTTTGTGGAGCACATAGCAAAATGTGACTGCGTCGCGCAACCACAGGTGGCACAACTCTTGGAATCATGTTGACATCGCTATGTTCTGCGCAATCGGAGCATTCGAAGCAACCGGCGAAACGCGCGGCAAGAGTATAACCTTCAAATTCTTCAAACGGTTCGAGCGTGATATAACCTTAGAAGCTGAAGGCGCATTATTCCATTAACCGGTTGGTATCACTCCAAGAAAAGTCAAACGAGATATTGAGAGTCGACGATTTTATGGCACGATGACGTCCAGCAATGAACAACAAACAAATTTACCATGGTGAGTACGAAACTTGGGACATCGATCAAGGAACATCGATCAAAAATCTTCTTGTATTTCAGGGTCGAAAAGTACCGTCCTAAAAGCCTGGATGAACTTATTTCTCATGAGACGATAATAAAGACGAGTAAGTGAACGACGCAAGTAAATAGGACGCGTAAATGTGTGTAACATGTTTTATTATAAAATGAGAAAGAAATTGCTTGTTACAGTAAACAAGTACATTGATGAGAATCAACTGCCGCATCTTCTTCTCTATGGACCACCTGGGACAGGAAAGACTAGTACTATACTGGCGTGTGCTCGTAAACTCTATACTCCAGCTCAGTTCAATTCAATGGTTGCATATCTGTCATTAAATAATTCCATGTCTCTTTATTTCATTCATGTTCCTTACTTTACTTACATGTATTTAGGTATTAGAATTAAATGCTTCCGATGATAGAGGGATAGGTATCGTGCGAGGCCAAATCCTGAGTTTTGCCAGTACAGGCACTATGTATAAATCTGCATTTAAATTAATTATCCTGGATGAAGCCGATGCTATGACAAATGACGCTCAGAATGCACTCAGAAGAAGTAAGAGCATCATCTCAATATTTATAGATTATAAGGTATTAATTAGACATTAATAAAAATAAATATTAATTTGATATTAATTCTAGTTATTGAGAAATACACAGATAATGTGCGTTTCTGTATTATATGCAACTACCTCAGCAAGATTATCCCAGCTCTGCAGTCTCGTTGTACCAGATTTAGATTTCTACCTCTTGCAGCGGAACAAATAATACCAAGACTGAATCACGTCATTGAAGCAGAGAAGTGTGTGAATGAAGATTTATTTTATATCTAATTACTTGATTCTCTTTTATCCCGAGATCTTTCGTTAATGAAAAACTTTCTTTAGTTTAAAAGTTACAGAGGACGGCAAGCAAGCATTAATGACATTAAGTGGCGGTGATATGAGAAAAGTAATAAGCGTACTTCAAAGTACATGGTTTGCTTATGGTGCTGTGAACGAAGGGAATGTGTATAATTGTGTTGGACACCCTTTACCAAGAGACATAACTAGTATTGTAAACTGGTTGCTAAACGAGTCTTACGACACATGCTACAAAAGTATCCTTTTACAATAACAGATTTTAGAGATAAGGCAGCTCTTTTGATCGGTATTTACTTTAAGATTGTTTAAGTAAAGTTTTAAAATGCTAATATTGTTGTGATTGGTTTATGATACTTTAGGATTATACTTAAGACAATCTTAAATATAAGAACTAGCTATGAATCTTGAACTAGCTACTGATCTTTATATCAGATTTTATATAATCCTTGATATATATTACGCAGAGATTCAAGAACTGAAGTTGAACAAGGGACTTGCACTGCAGGATATATTAACAGAAGTTCACTCATATGTGGTTAAAAGTATGTATTGTGCTCAATATGTATATACAGAAATGTTTGTTATTACTAACAAGTATTTTTTTAGTCGATTTTCCTGATCCATTACTTGGTGACTTACTATACAAAATGGCAGAGATAGAGAAAAGATTGGCTTTTGGATGTCGCGACAACATTCAACTAAATGCTCTTATATCTGCATTCTACAGTGTTCGCGATATTGAAACGTGATATCTTCTATCACGCGGATTGAAACAATAAAAATATTAAATCACTGAAAAAAATGCAGGTAATTTTACATGGAAATTACATGTATATGATTGGAAAATTATCTAAATTACATAAATATGCTTGGAAATTTACTGGAAATTGTAAATTTTCAATCATATTTAGGCAATTTTCCAGTCATAAATATGTAATTTCCATGAAAAATTACATGCATTTTTTTCAGTGTACGCTTTCTTAAGATAAAAATTATTATTTTTTTAGTATGTATATACATATATTACATTGGTAACATCAATATATGAAAAATGAGGATGTTTTTATTATTTAAAAAAAGTAAAGTGAGTTTTTAAAGCAAACATTCTCCCGTGAAAGAATAACAATCCTTATTTTTCCAGAAACATTTGATAAGTACATTAAATATCACATATATGTCATAAAAATGTAATAAAATTGTCAATACAATGGAATTGATTACATATTTACGATCAATCTATAGTTTCGTTCCCCATAAGACTTTTCTCGTCCGGAAATAATAGAACTATAAAAGCAATGTATATCTTAGATATAAGTTACAATACGAGATTGCTATCATCGCTTGGTTTCTCCGCTTAATTGCATTCTGGCGTGCGTCTTATCGACAACATACAAAAATTTAAAAATAGCCCGTCAAAGTATAAGTAGCGAATCAGTCGAGTCACCATCGATTCCTTGGCGTCATAAATTACAGCCCTCGTTCCGTTCGCCGCCACTCCTCTTCCCACCGTTGCCCTTCGGGATCGTGATGATCTCCTTACGTGCGCGGAAAAGTGCAAACTTCATTCAGGAGATGATAACTTTCACGAGCAGACAGCAAACATGGATCAGAGGGCCGGGGGAGAACTCGGCGGCGCCGGGCTACAAGTCTGCAATCAGTGTATTCCGTACTCTTGCAAGCAGGAGCGGACCGACAGTAGCCCGGTAAATGCCGTCCAATCAGCACGCGATCGTTCGAGCATCACGTCGACGGGAACCACATCGAAACTTTGGGCATGCGAGCCTCGTGTAAAGATTCTGTCGTAGAAATTTAAGGCTGACCTCACGTAAACGTTACTTATATTGCGTGGAAACCGCGCGACGCAACGTAACTGAAATATCCATGGAGTAGCTTGATTTAACATCTGAAAGTTTTCGTGGAAACAGAAATCATTCACAGAAGAAATCCTATTACGAATAATAGATTGGCGAAACAATTTATTGATAATTTTGTTAAATAAAATCTGTTAATCATTCGAAGGTGACGGTGGGTCTGTTGAATCTATTCGATTATATTCTTTATGTTACATCTGCAAAAGACCTCGCACTATGAAAAATTAGGTCCCGGTGAAATGAGTCAGTCTTCATGGTTTTCACATATAATGTAGCTTCTAATGTGGTGAACAAAAGATGTTATAGACACAAGGCTTAATAAGTTTTTAGCTATGGTATCAAAACTACAAAATTTGTACTCACAGAGTATCTTTGATACACCACAGCTAAAACATTATCCATTATTGAGTCCTGTGACTGTAACATCTTCTGTTCATCACATTTTAATAGCGTTTTCGATCGTAGCGGGTTTGAGCCGACCTGGGTTGGATTAATGACGTTACATGCATCACTATTGGTTGACGTTACATGTTCTACCAATAGTAGAGCATGCAACGTCATTAATCCAACCCAGATCGGTTTAAACCTGTTACGGTCGAAAATGCTATAAGCCACATTATATGTAAAAATTAACTCATTCCAATTTTCTACATGATTAGTTCTTTGGATTATTAAAATAAACTTAGTATTCATTTTTTATACGACTTATTTTAGTTCCTTGAAATTAATTAGTGCCTTTTAATCAATATAAATTAAATAGACCCAGCATCAATAACTTTGTTACAGATTTTAACATCATCTTCAAAGGGTTAAATGAAGATCGTAACCGCATAATGTACAGCGGCACTTCTATTGCCACTCTCGATCTCTGTAATAATTAATAGCTGCGTTTAGCAGAAAAAGCAGCTTTGTGTCTGTTGTAAAATTCTTTGATGTGATGATTGGTTCTTCCTACATCCCTTAGTTCTTCACTACATCTAAATATAAACTAATCGTATCAAAGAATCGCACAATAATTGCGAAGCTGTTTTTTCGTGAAACACAACCAGTGACTGTAGTTTTTAATTTTTTACTACTTTGGAAAGCGGTTGTTCTTTTCGATATAAAATATTCGCGCGCGCGGCGCGAGAGTTTCTTTCCTGCAGATTGTGTAAAAAATAGATGCGCGCTAATAGGGAACGAGAGGTGACGAAGGTCGTGGAGAAGAATTAAGGAACCTTAACAAGTTAATTATGCAAGCGTTTTCGCGTGTGTTAGCACAGGATCGAAGGGTTTAGTGGATAAAGTGAGTCGCGGAAGACATTCGCTTTAATTCACGTGGCTGGCATTCGTGTATCTACGCGTCGTCAGTCAGCAGCGAATTCGTGCGACAAGCGTTACAGCTGTAGATGAGGAGAACATAAAGCGGCTTATATCTCCTGCAACGTGGCGGGACCCATCATCCCTCGTACTGCTGTAAACCTATATATGCAATCCGTGCTAGTGGAATGACCCAACACTAGTCCCGGCACGCCATTAACTCCCCTCCGCGTGCAATCCACCGTACGTGTACAATCCGTCGTACGTACAATCCGTCGTATTTCTAGAATGTTACGAATATTTTACTGAACGGAGCTTATACACGCGCAGATCTGTCTAAATTTAATACGTTCTTCCGCCGATGCGTGGATGTGCCATTTTCATTGCAACGTTAAACCCTTGATCCTTTCAACGAGAGTCATGAAGTCTATCTGACAGAGTTATTAAGGTTCGACTTAATCACGGGATTATGTACGTTTATTGAATTAGAGAGTAAGTTTATATGAGAAATTAATAACAGCAAAATCTTTCCTTTCCAGTCGGAAATAATTAGTCGATCGACGTTGAATCAGCATCGATTTGACATCGATCGATCGATCGATCACTTCTGTCTGAGGATTGTCTTTGCTTTGATTAATTTTAGGTCGTTTTATTTTAGCAATTATTTTTCATAACTTTTCGATCTAATGAGCAA